CTATCTACCTATACATTTATCGAATACTAAAAGTTTACACTAATACCTCCAGTTTAATCCAACACTAACAAAACAAAACACCGTGGCTGTCAAGTACAACTCATAGAGACTCTACAGGACAGAGCAGAACTGCCCCCTAGGGTTGCCAAGGCTGTAATCTTTACGGAAGCAGACTGCCACATCTTTCTCCGGCACGCGGCTGGTGGGTTTGAACCACTGACCTTCTGGTTAGCGGCCAAGTGCTTAACCACTGCGCCACCAGATCTCCTTAATTCAGCACTATAGGGTTTATTTTACTTTTTTTCTTCTGTTTTGCAACTTTCTTGCCTGCCAATGAAAAACCTGGCTCCCATTATTCTTAATGTATTTACTTAATTGATCAACCCCCATGTAAGTAACCCATTTCCATCTCAGCTCTCACTCCCACCCCTGTTTAGCTGCCTCCTCAAGCCACTTGAACTCTGATACCCCATGCTGGGCAACCTCCCTAGTCTCCTGCACCCCCTCCTCACCCTGCTTGGGCTCTGACAACCCAATTTTGGCCAACACCCCACCCTTAACCCCACCTGTGTAGATATTTACCTTTCTTTGTTCCACCTAATGGTTTTAAGATGTAATTGTTCAGAAAGAGGGGAATAGGAACAGGAATGTAAGGGGGAAAGGAGAGAAAGAGGGGGAGGAGAAAGAGCAATGATGAAGAGGAAGAAGGAACATATATGTGTAAATAAACCACAAATAAGCAGATTAACTTTCTGTTTTAAAATTATACGGTTTTAATGAGAATGAGAATAATCTAAGAAGCCATTTAGAAATTGAAAGTTTTCTGACTGATACAGAATATAACAACATTTTTTTTTCTTGGTTGTTACAAGTAACATTAAAATCCACATATTCATTTATTTATGAAATGAATTATCACTTGTGAAAACACAAATTTCACATGATTTTATCATCTTTGATGATCTCTTCATATTTCGTACATTCTATTGTTCTACCTGTTCCACACACTTAGTAATATTTACTTATCAACTAAACTTGCAACTAGATAGTCCCTCAAAGTATGTACAATAATTTTATTACCAAAATCAGAGTGAAGAAGAATAAATTTTTAAAAATTAAAGCTAGGTTTTAAAATCAAAAAGTTAATACGTACCGAAGGTTTAAAAACAAAACAAACAAATAAACAAAAAACCTTCAAATAGTTACATTCTCCAGAGATAACTGTTGTTAACAGGATGTCTTTGGAATCCCATTTGTAACTGATAAGAAATAGGAGTACATCTTCTATTTTTAACCACATCTAAAAAAAATTTCTTTCTTAGATGAAGAGAATGTGTAGGATGTCAACATGCTTCATTTCCATTTTTTAGGATAGAATTTAAAAATACTATAAAATGATTGCCAACAAAATCTTACCATCTTATCATGTCAATTAGAACTTGAAATTGGTCATTTAGGGGCATATAGATTATCCACCTTGAAGGTCTTTGCAGAGCAATGGATTGCTTTTGTGTGGCCTTTCTCGCCACGGTCATGTAACTCTCACCCATCTGATTGGGTGGGACTGTGCAAATAAAGTAATTGTGGTCCACCAAGGGGATTGGTCAGTTTTCCCATCCCGCTAGGCTTAAAAAGAGAGCCAATTCCAGAGCAGAGAGAGGATCTCACCACCACCAAGAAAGAATAGCCAGGTGTGCAGTGTGTCCTTTGGACCTGGGATCCCTTCACTGAAACCCTCCTAGACCCAGGAGACAGACAGAGAGCTGTTAACACTGAAGACAGTAAGACGGCAAGAAGCAGCGGCAGAGAAACGGCAGCAGCAGAGGCAGCAGAACCAGGAGGTGACGGCAAGGTGGGCTTCCCAGCCCACAGAGCGAGAAAGCTGAGTGCCTTTGGGCAGGAGGCTTGCTGGTGGAGTAGGGTGCCTCTGGCCACTTGGTGAGCTAGGCTTGTGGACCCACAGAGTTAGAGCTGAGTGCCTTCAGGCCAAGGCTTACTGGCTTACTTATCGGCAGAGCTAAAAGAGCTTTGTAACACTTGCCCAAGCAGGACAGAGGCTGAGGGGCCAGAGAGAGGCAGCTGAGAAAAGGTGGTCCTAATGGAAGAACTGTACCCTGGGCACTCCTGAACCTGAATTGTAACCTGTAACTTCCCTAATAAGCCCCATAACCGTGAGTATTGTCTGTTGAGTTCTGTGTGGCCATTGCAATGAATTATCAAACCCAGCAGAGAAGTAGAGAGTGCTGTGAGAAGGACGGTTGGTGTTGGAATTGGTAAAGATGGCGGAGAGAGGAGGCATGTGTGACCTCCAGCCCATACGAATCAGCCCTGGGCTGTTGATCTTGATTCTCCTTCACCCTTGTGAAGTTAGAGGAGGTCAGACACTGCCCCCAAACCATAGTTACAGTCTTGTACATTTTAAAAAGTTGCCTAGAAAGGCCACATCTTTTTCCATCTCCTATTGTGCAGATCTTTAATATTATTACTGGAGTCATAGTAACCAAAACACTGAAGTTTGAAGATCCGTAAAGAATGTCTCCATGATTTGGGATGCCCATTTATCTTATTAGGATCACCGTGTTGTGATGTGCACAGAGTGGATGTATTTTGGAGGACTCTTGGACTTCTCTTTCTACCCCCTTGGCTCCTGCATCTTGGAGTGGGGTCACTGCTCTGCACCCAATTAACATATGCTCAGTTACAAGCAAGCAAACAGAGAGAGAAAGAAAACAGCCCTTATTCAAAGCATAATGTAGCCAGAACAGTGCTTCTCAAACTTAAATATCTACACGAATCATCTGGGGATCTTGTTAAAAGTAGATTCTGATTCAGTAGGCCTAGGGCCTGAGATGTTCCTTTCAAACAAGTTTCCAGGTGATGCCACGAGGAAGACGCGGGAAGAACTGACTAAAGAAGATGGATGACAAGTTTTCAAACTATTTCTAATAGTAGTTCTTAAAAATGTTTTCTATCCTTGACTAATGGGCATTCACTTATCCTTCATGCCATCTTGTCCCAGGCTCCTGCCATCTTTGGTCACTTCTTACTTCTCTATTTCCTAATTAATTCTCTTCTCTTTCAAAACTAATTGTTCCCCTTGTCCCATGCAGAGAAGCTTCCCCCACCCTCTGATGTCCTGGAGTTGGCTAGCAGGCATTATGCCCATAAAGTTAACACTGAAGTGGCCTTTTGAAGGTGCTTTCCCAAGAAAAGACAGTTCCTTCCCTAAGAGGAATTCTGTTGACAGTAACTACAGTCTAAATAAAATCTTTTGACTTGTGACATAAATTTAAAGGAAAAGAATTTTGGGTGTACATGTGCTTGCTTTTCTTTCCCTCAAGATTTTGCTTGGCTCCCTTCCTTAATTCAGTTCTCTTCCTTGAATGTCAGTTATTCAGAAGACCTCCCTGAGTACCTGATAGAAAATAGATTCTACTCCCTACCCCTGTCGCTTTGTTACCTTTCCAATTCCAGTTGCCATAAAACTGATTCTGACTCATGGCGACCCTATGTGGGTTCCCTTAACCCTCCTTTAATTTTCTTCATAGAATTCATCACTGCCTGAAGTTGTTCCATATTTATTTGATTACTTGTTTATGCTCAGCACGAATGTAAATTCCAAGTGAGCAGAAATGTGAGCAAAACACCCTATGTCTTGTTTACGGATGCATTCACTGTCTCTAGAATAATGCCTGGCATATAGTAGGCATTCAATAAATATCTACCGAATCAATGAATGTTTACTGAATTGAGAAGTGAGAAACAGTACAAAACTGAAACAAAGCAATGTCAAATAAACTGTGGGCTTTTTATCCTGCAGCAGTGCGCTGCCAGTGAAGGTCTTCTGTGCAGGGAAATGGGGACGGCTCGGTTTTAGGGAAAATAACAACCTGGCCTTGATGTTCAAGACGGATTGGATATGGTGGTGCCAAACGCACAGTGACTAATAAGTTTAGCACGACGTGTACCCGCGGGAACGAAAAGAAAGCTAAAGAAAGAGTTGATTCTTAAGAATTAACACTGGACTGATGGGTAGGGGCAGGGAGGGGGTTGAGAAGGTGCCCAAGATGACAGTGAAGAATGAGAGCTCCTTTTTTTAGACGAATCTCCACAAAAAGTGGGAATCCTAGACAATTCACGTTCTGCGAAGCCGGCGTAGGGAATAGCTTAAATGGACAAAGAAGACCCTGTTTGTGTTAAGCTGATTAACCCTTTCCAGTTTCTCCAGAATCTCACTTCGAATCACCTTCTCCACACGTTCACTCCTGCTGTTTGCTACCTAAATACTACTAACAGAACACCACCACGCGACCCCGGGTCCAACAGACTCTAGACACCGCCAACCTCTGACCCTGCAGTGAACTTGAGCCTCCTCAGAGGACCCGGCTAGTGATACCTCTCTCTAGCCAAGTGGCTCCCAAATTTTGCTGCACTTTGGAATCACCTGGAGATTTAAAAAAAAAAAAAAAAAGCCTGGCACCCACATTCTAATTTGATTAGTATGGACATTCTGGATTTTTAAAAACTCAGTAAATTCTAGTGTGCAGCAAAGTTTCAATGGGCTAACCACATCTCCAGGGCTGCAAGGAATGGGAGAGGGGTCGTTCTCTGTGCTTCAGTTGCATCTCACCTGCTTTAAGAAGGTTCATCAGCCTGGTAGGGGCACCTGGAAATCTGCTTTATGAGAAAGAAAAGATGAATGCGGCCACTATGAAAACCACCATATAAATATCTAACAGTCGCAGAAATCACCACCACTCCCCAGCCCCCGCCGTCGTCCCCGCATCCTCCTGCACCCAGAGTGCACGCTGAGGGCTCCGGGCGTGGCGGGTCTGGTCTTCACGCCCCTGCCCAGCGCGGGCCTGGGTTTCCTAGGGGGAGCGGGACGCGGAGCCGTGAGGAGGCGGCGCTCGGGGCTCTCCGGCGTGGCGGTAGCAGAACCGAAAGCAGCGGCCGGGCGGGGGCGAAGGAAGGGGGCGGGCGCCGGCCGGGGCAGGGCGAGCCGGAGCGCGGAGGGCCGGGAATGCCCGCGGCGCGGGGCCGCACAGCCGCCGGTGGCCCCTGTCTGGGCGATGGCTCTGCGTCTCGTCGCCGACTTCGATCTCCAGAAGGACGTGCTCCCGGGGCTGCTGGCGCAGCGAGCGGTGCTGGCTGTCGCTGGGGCCAGAGGCGGCGGCGTAGGTGCGGGAGACGCGCCTCGGGGGCGGCTGGCCTGGGGGAGGACGGGAGTCCTGAGCCTTTCATACCTGGGGGAGCCCAGACTGGGCTGGTGGGCACGCGCCAGGTCGGGAGCAGCCTGTGGCCCCTGCCAACCTGTGAAGGTTGGCGCCAGCGAAGGGGTGAGTTACCGTCTCTGCCGACCCGGCTTCTTTGGCTTTGCCTCCCTCACCTCTGGCCAGGAGGTGAAGCTCGGAGGTGGGGAGCCGAGGCAAGGTCATAGCTGGGTTGCATCGCTTTCTCTGACGAGTCCTGCTTCTGACTTGTTACCCAAAGTGATTCACCCTTAGCTGGAAGGCCGGGGACACTAGTGGTACCCTCAGCATCACCTCAGGTAGGGGAGGGTATGGAGGAGCAGCTTCCTGGACTCTCCTTACCCGGCAAAGGCAACAGGGAGTGGGAGAGGGTCGTTCTCTGTGCTTCAATCGCATTTCACCTGTCTAGGAAGGCTCTTCAGTCTGGTAGGGGCTCCTGGAAGTTCGCGTTATGAAAAAGGAAAGATGAACGTGGCCGCTATTAAAACCACCATATTAACATGTAACAGTGGCACAATTCGTCCCCACATTTGTGGGATGTGTTGTCAGTGATTTAGGGGACATAGTACTTCCCAGGTGAAGTGCAAGAGGGCAGGGGCAGAGCGGTGAACTTAGTGCTTGCTGTGTTCCAAAGAAGCACCAAGCCATTTCCATCACCACCAAGCACACCATCTGTGTAGGCCAGCAAATGGGGGGAGCGGACAAAGGGATGCTCTGATTTCCTGCCCCACTTTTTCAGGGAGAACTGGAATACATTCTTAGCAATTGAGGCCTTGTGTATCACCTGTAACAAAAATCCTTGTTTTGATTTTGGTGAAACAGTGAAAAGTTACTTTCTGAGCCTTCCCAGCCTTTGCCTACTTTAAAGAAGGGGAACTTGGTGATTTCCTGGTTTTTTTCTTTTTAAGAAGAGAAGTTTATTGTAAATGATGGTGCATCTTCAGGGCTTAAATTCAGCTTTAAGGCAGTGATGCCTCTGGGTCCCACCCGGTACGTTGGACCATCCACTTTAGTGCGTTTGCCCTTTCTCTCTGGTTTTCCTTAAACACTGTGGACTGTCCGAGGGCATTTTTTGGAGGGGTATTAAATTATTAATATCTGCAACTTCTTCCTTCCTATCCTGTGGCTTGTAGCAGAATTATTTGTAGGTTTCATTGCCTTGGCATATTGGTTGTTAGTTCCAAATAAAGAATCATACATGTTTGTGTAGCTCAAGGCTTGAGTTTGCTGTCAGAAGCATTATTAGCAAAGCTTCATGAGTGGAATGGGATGACATGGGGAGAGGAATTTTAAAAATCTGCCAAATGTCTAAAGAGTTGTCTGTTTTCCACCACAAAGTTGTCCTTTCTTTGAACTCCCACTTTGTCTAGCAAAATGGCAGGTGACTGCAAATGAGCCCATAGATGAAGTGTGAAATGCCACAGTCATATGTTTCAGTAATGCGGGTTGTGATTGAAAAGCTGTGTATGGCCCAGCTGGATTCTTGACTTCCTTGTATGTTTTATTTCATCTGTGAAGAAATTTAAACTTGTGCATTGACCTTCCATCGAACAACAGAGTCTCTGTTGGTAAACTTACTAGAAATACCAGCTTTTCTGATATTGGTAGTATTTTGTTCTAATAGGGCATTTTGGCAGGTAGTTAGCCCCATTATAGATACTACGAGAAACTGCTGCCTCCAATAATCACTAGCCGGTGGTAGCTCAAAAGAACACAAGTTAAGCTTCTCAGTTCCTCTTCTATAATTTGTAGCACTGTCAGGGGAATCTGGGATTCTGTTTTATTTTTAGCACAGCCATTACTCCACACATTCGTGCACATTATTTTCCTTTCGAAGTCACAGCTTTTCAAATGTAAATTATGAATAATTACACCATTGTAAGTCTCCTCCTTGCAGCTTGCTTTCTAAATTTGAAGCCTTAGTATTTTTACATCAACAAATACAATCGAAGATTTCTTCGTGGTGCTAATACTCCTGAAGTATGACGTATTCTTGGCAAAATAACCAGCGAGATATGCTAAGTCAGCTATAGAAATTCGGTGCATATGGGATAGCATTCAAGGAGTTGAAGAGTGAGGAGAGCACATTTGGTTACTGCATCTGTTCCTGGTCCAGGGTTGAATTTTGGGAAAATGATGTCTCCTGAAATATGGAGAAAATAGTTGTTCTTTTAAAAATTAAAACAATTATACAAAAGGATATTTAAACATATATAAACCATAAAGAATGACAATAGAAAATAAAACAAAGCCATGTACCCAACCTCCCAGCTTAAAAGTAGAACAGTATCAAGATTTTTGAAGGCTGTTATGTGCCCCTATCTGATCTTATTCCTCTCTCTGTCCCTCAACCCCCAAAGGTAACAACTACTTAAACTTCTATATCTTAGCATTTCTTTGATTTTATTTATAGTTTTAATCCATATGTTTACCTCCCTAAGCAATATCATTTCATTTGGCTTGTCTGTGAATGTTAAATAAATGAAAAGCATACTGTATGTTTTTGCATTTTCAGCGTTAATATCATGAAATGTATCCATGTTGATTTCTGTAACTGTAGGTCATTCATTGTCACTGCTGTATAGTATTCTATTGTGTGAGTATACAACAATATGGTAGACATGGAGTTGTACCGCCTAGATTCCCCTTTCCAGGAAGAACTTGTCCCAACTCACACAATGGAATACTATTACTGTAATGCTAATACTGTAATCTGATTTTATTGTTTTTCCATATTAATAGTGAGTGGTTCCAGTATCACTAGCCACATAGTTCTTCCTGTTCTCACTGATAGCAAAGTCACTTGAGTCACACATCAAGTTTCCATACATGTGTGAGTGTCCTTTTCTGGGTTCTTTATTGTGTTCCATTGGTAATTTGAGCTGACAACATTGTAATAACTGTGCTTTATATTAAATCTTGACCATTGGTAGGGCAAGTCCCTTCACCTTAGTCTTCTTCTT